CACACACACACACTCACACACACTCCTCACACACACACACACTCACTCCGGCATGTCTCAAAACTATAGTCTTCGTGGGTGTTTGAGCCGTGGAAGCAGCACGTTGTTTATGCGTACGGGAAGAGATCATCTAGGTTGATAAGCAGGCTAGAAACAGTGATGACATCAATTGCATTCCATGTAGTACTGTGAGTGAAGGCTGCACCCTTTAGGTGTTGGTGATGCATGGTACGTGCATAACGAATCGGCTACAGCACTGCAGGATGACCTGCAGTTGCCGTTTGAGCATGCAGCTTCATGCATGCCGTTTTGTCACTGTTTTATTTCTACATTCATGTATTGGGTCCAGGCTACACCCTGAATCACGTAGCACACGCTGGGATGTTATTCGACTTGCATGCCGCTTTGACTTCTTTGCGCGTGTGCGTGCCGGGGTCCGGGGTACCTGCAGACCTTGCCGCTGCCAGAGCATCTCGTTTCAGGCTGGGCGCGCGCGCGGAGCTTGCCGGCGACACTTGCCTTCTAGCTTTGGCAAACAGCCTCCGCTGCGATCCTGCTGAACTGGTGCGCGAGGCCAGGACGCTCGACAAGCATTCCTGTTGAAGTCCTTGACATGGGAGGCCTGTGCATCTTCTATTGGCCAAATTGGCCGAGCCGACAAAGGCAGATTTGGCCAGCCTCAATACGTTTCCCCGCCCCTGAAAGCTGCCGCTTCGAGGACTTACAAAGTTGGCGAGAGAATCTTTGAGCCATGGCGAGACTGACGAAGCTACATTTGTGCAAGAGGCAGCACGAGCAGCTCTAAACAGTTTGCCACAGCTGGGTAAGGAAGATTTCGACATGCCACAAAGTGCTTGGCAATGAAAAATCGGAAACAGCCTTTGCGTGACCTGGGATGTGTGTTCAGGCTGGCCAGAATTGATTGCAGGTGCGAGCTGTTCCTTTGGCTGTGCCGCAGTTATCTTTGATCGAGACATCCAGCTGGAGGGGGGGGGGGCAGGGCGTTCCAGAAATTGATCTTTAGCATTTCCAAACACAAGTGGTTTTCGTTTATTCTGCATCTCAGCTGACAGGTGACTGAGTCGACAGAGAGAAGACAACAGCACGAGCCCCGTACCCTGCACATCCTGCACCGAGAAGAGAGAGAGGGAGAGAGAGATTCAGTTCATCCCAAGTCACACACACACACACGCAGTGCATCGGGCTGCATTTCTACATGCCATGGTTGAGTGCGTGATGGCTGTTGATAGCGACGATGCTTTGGAGATCGCTTCCGACGAAGAAATCGAAGAAATAACTTCAGGTTCTAGCAGCAATGCAGACGAAGAAGCCTATTGGTTGGATTCGACAGAAGGTTCTGATGTTTCCAGTGAGTCTTGCGAGCTCCTTGATTTCAATCAACCATCACCCAGAATGCACAACCTGGAAGATATATCTCCTGTGGAGCATAGCGAGTTGCTCCAAAATTGTCTGGACTATTGCAGCCACACTTGGCCATCGCCTGAAGTTCACGAGTCCTTGTTGCACAGCATGCTTGGAGTGAACAGCGGCTATTCAGCACCATCAGGCTTAGTGCCTCCTCGCCTGAGGAACCCAGCAGACTTGTCATCACTTCCATTTTCGGATGGATCGGACCAAGAGAGCACAAAGGATACGGCCACTTCATGTCTTGATGTGCACTCCACATTGACTTCTGGTCAGCTCGGTTTGAGACCATCCGCTTTGAACCCACAGCTTACTTCCAAGCATGCCAAGAAGGCACACATGCAAAGGCTGGTTCATCAGGAAATAGAGCGAAAAAAGCTGGAAGAGATGTCTGGCTCTTGGCCTGGTGGCGGCGCCAACATGCGGCGACGACAAGCCGAAGCGCTGCTTCCTCTTCTAGAAGATTTAGGATACACATTGGACGATGTTGAGGCCTTGTTGGAGAGTTGCAGGGACGACACGCACAAGGTCCAGTTAGAAGTTGACGCTCTTTTGGAGGCATCCAAGAACAAAGCCCATTCGTGGCTCACCAGTGTTCCCAGGAAGCGTCAGAGGGAATCGGGTCTCAGAGAGCTGCGGAAGCAAGAGCTGGGAGTCTTGAAATCTAAGTTTGGCACGGTGATGCGTGAATTGGAAGATCGTGGGGAGGATCGCAATCCGGAGCTTGTGGGAGAATCAGTGCGACAACCAGTCTGGAGTGATTTGACAGGGGATTGGGGCGAAGAGCGGCCGGAGACTGTGACAGCAGCTGCCAAGATGGACGGGATGCCCGAAGTGTCAAGCATCAAGCACATGAGCCGGGCAGATTGCAGAAAACTGCTCCGGCAGTTGAAATCTTTGGTGCATGCTCCAGCGGTGTTGTACAAGGCTCTTGCAGCACGGGCAATGGACGAGTATGCCAGAGTGAAGCCGCGCACTTTTCAGGATTGCCGACAAATCACGTTTTGGCAGTTTGCAGGGTCTGAACGATCTGGATGCGGTGCTGACTGCGTCATGTCTGAACAGCAGAATTTCACTTTTCGTCCGGGTCAGATTCTTCAAATTCAACTGCCAGTTATCGTTGTGCCGACCAGTGCTGCGAGGCTATGCTGGAAAGCAGTTCTTCGACTTTTTGAATGATTCCGAGGACAAGGCTTCCATGCTGTGGTAGAGGTAGGATGGTGAGGGCGACGTTTGCCAGGCCAGTTTTCGGGCAAGGCTGCCGGACATACACCCCATAGCGGCGGTGTATATGCACTTCGGTTGCATCTATTCCATTTCATCCGTTCTTGGAGATGTTGGATGGGCGGAGGGTGGGTGGGTGGGTGGGTGGGTGGCGCGGTGGGCGGGGCGGAACTTCTGAATTCATTCCGTCATCACTGAACAGTACACTGGCGTTCTCCCCTCCCCTCCCCTTGTGCCAAGCCACGTAGTCCAATCTGAGTGCATGCACCTTTTGGGCGAGGTTGCAGACAATGATGGAATCGAATAATGTCGTCAACTTGATTTTTCAGGAGGCTAGCGGCAGCCGCTGTAAGATGCAAAATGCTCATCGACACTTCCGTTTCTATTCGTGTCAGGTTGCTCGGTACGTGGCCGAGAGGATCACCAGCTTGGACAGAGATGGACTGGGAAGATTAGTCTACGTGTTTGCCAAGGCACGATGAAGAGTCTTCGACGATCTACTTGGCTCACTCCCACTACCTACCTACCTGCCTGCCTGCCTGCCTACCTACCTTCCTGCCTACCTACCTACCTGCCTGCCTGCCTACCTACCTACCTACCTACCTACCTACCTACCTACCTACCTACCTACCTACCTACCTATATATATATATATACACACACACACACACAAGCGCAAGCGCAAGCGC